ATTTCTGTTGTAAGAAATTTAAGGCTATTTTTAGCCTTAAAACACCTGAAAACTGATCACATTCTGCCAAATCGAGCGAAATTCGATATCTGAAACTCAAAGGATCCGATCGGATCTTTTCCGGCATGGTTGCTGCCAGATTTTACTGAATTCCGACAACTTCCAGCATGTTCTAGTGTTGGATCATCCAACACTAGAACATGCCGGATCCAGGTTGTATCCGACAGGTTCCGTCAGGATCCCGACGTCAGAATCAACGGCCTGGGCAGCTGTCTTTTAGTTGTGCTTCCAATTTCTTTAGATCAAAACCTGTTGCACAACAAAAAGTGTTCTTGTTCTTGAGCCGCTTTTTTCCTTATGAATTTTACTGTGCTGAATTTAGATATTTAGAGCTTCCAGTAAAATGTATAATTTGGTCAAAAATGAAGCTGTTGAGGACGGATTTGTTTTATTTTGATTAGAAAAAGCAAAACATACAGAGATACAAAATTGATCATGTGTAATTACTACGTTTTATTTATCTTTGACGCTTCCGTATCGGTGGGAGAAACTAATTCTGATAATCTCAGGAAATCTGATATCAATCGTGAAGACAACAGATGAAGTTTTTCAATTTTTTTGATGATACTTTTCTAAGATGTAACGGTTCTAAAAGTTTTATACCGGAATGGAACAGTCGTTCGATCCTCTTGCTTATCGCTATTAGAGCGATCGTTTGGAGTTTTTTTAGCGAAAACGACCGTTTTTTCGGACTTTCCAATATTTTTCATCTCGTTCTACTTCTTTTTTGCTTGTTTAATACCAAACGAAAAACATTGAGGCATTCGAATGCATCGACAACGAAAGCAGGCGTGTCGAGCATGGTCGAATATTCTAATGCGTTTCAGGAGACCGAAATGTCGATTCTGTAGTTGAATACTCTACACATTTTTTATACAGATTCGAAAACACGGAGATTTTGTTCTAAGTCTTTTAGAACGTTCCGAGTCTAAAAGCTTTCTTCGGAACAGACGCTTCACCGATCATTTTAAAAATCTTATCAGAATAAAATGGCTCGACCGTTCTCTGTTAACGATTACAACTTTGACACTTCGTACTATTTATGTATCACAATTTTACATGTGAATGTCAAATTTCTGATAAATGAGTTTTCTAGAGAATACTCTATGTTTTTTCTAAATTAAAAATTTCTTGTGTATTTGGATTCAATTGTCTAACTATTTATATTACCTAAGAACGTGGGCAAGTAAGCTAGAAAATCATTCCACAATACAATTGATTTTTTCAATTGGGAGCATGTCTGAGGATCAGTGAGATCACTTTGCCAAAGTAAGTCATTTTAAGTCATAATCATATATTTTGTGTTTTATATCGCGCTTCGATAGGTTTCTTAAAACCGAATGTTTTTCAGAACTGGCTACGACTTAAACTGACTTATTCTGGCAACATTAGATCAAAAACAGCAGGTAAAAGTGATATATACGAAACTTATTTTTCTATTTTTCTGGGAATGAAGGGTTCCAGGACCGAATTTTCTGGTCAAAAATCACAAAATATACGGCATTCGATCTCATTTTTCACATACATTCCAAATACTATTTTCGGTTCATCCTAAAAGACTGTTTTAATGCCGAAATTAGAAAATACTGCCGAAAACATATTGAAAATCCTTTAAATCTAAGTTCTTAATCATTCGATTCGAAAATCATATTTTTTTCTCATTTGAAGTTTTCATCGTTCGAAACATGAAAAACTATCTATATGATCAATTTCCTATTGATTAAAGCTTTCGCTAGGTGATAATGGAAAAAATAGGATGAAAAGTCAGAATTTATCCCGAAATTTTTAGAACCTGTTAACGGAAATAAATATTTTTCAAAAGTTTACAGGTGATATTCGCCAAACTCAGTAGTGCAAAAATGACATCAGTGATCCCGTCAGTAATTGTATTATAGGATGATTTTCTAACATACCCACCTACGTTTTTCGGTTTTCCGTTGAACAAGTAAGAAAACAGTATGTGCATTATATTTCTTTTAGAAAAAATTAATTAACATTTATTATCGTTTAAGGCATCAATAGTTTGTTTTTTTTCAATTAACTTTTCATAATTTTATATATTTTTCTCATTATCAACTTATTTTTCGACAGAATAATATTATTAAACTATTTCATGATATTTAGATAGAATAAATAGAAAGACGACAATTTTTGTTCAATTTAATCGCCTTGATCCAATTGAATTTGATGAGACAATAATACTGTATGGAAAAAAACAACAACATTTTATCATATGAAATGCAATCTAATTTAATAATCGTACTAGATACGTATATTCACAAATTATAGAGAGCAACCATTTAACACAACAGTTTACATTGTAATCAATTTTGTTAAACGCTATTCATCATTACTCAACTACGTATTATAAAAATTGAAAAATATAATCTAATAGTCGGACAGTATTTGATACTCGTGAACTAACATCATATTAGAAAAAACATATACTAAAAATCGGCTAAATTTTAGTAACTATTATTAATAAAATCGAACTGCGAAACACTGAAAAAAAGAAAAATATTTTCCTTGATCTGAAAATAGATTTCATAAGAATTTTGAAATATCAAAAGACTCACTGGAACATTCTGCATCTTCTTACACTTATTTTTTCGAAATTTTGCCGTTAACTCTTCTAGGAAAATTTTTCTGTACAAAGAACTGATAAATCTAAAAAAAAACCTAACTTTTGAATTTATTTGTCACAAACTTTAGTTTTTTTCACTATAAAAGCAGTAAAACGTTTTGAATCCAGGGTTTTAGTCTTATTATGTTACTCAGAATTCAATTCTATATCTTTTGATATATAAACAAAGTTTCTCAATTGAAATCATAGAGAATTCAATTCTCTATTGAATGAGTGTAGAACCAACTCTTTAGACTACTGAGAAGTACCTCAAAAACAAAGAACAAAAGTGGCCATGTTCTTTTAAGCCACCCGTTATGACTTTTTATTAGATCTGTCACTCAAAAAATCTATGATTACTGACAAAAAACAAAACAACCTAATTCTACGTAATAAAGATCTTCTAATAAAAGTTTATGTCACTTCATGTTCAATGACTCGTCTTTTAAAAGAAAAGTCAATAGAACTATTGTTCAAGGCTATAAACAAATTTTTATCTACGCATAATTGAGAATTGATCCATTTAGACTATCTGCCTCGTTTCTTACTAGAAGTTTCGAATTCAATTCTCTGGGTTTTATTTGAGCTGTTTGTCTCATTAACCCAATACCTAGACAATTTTTATGAATTAATGAGAAAAAGAAAACGTTATTAATTGAATATACATATTCAATTAATCTTGAATTAGGTTTTTATTACCTAAAATGAAAGAGATGAAAGAAAGGTGTTTTTTTTGCTTAAAAATACGTTGATATTCTCTTAAACGCACGAACGAGATGATCATTCTATTGACACATAGTCTATATTAATCTAAGTGTGTTAGATGAAGAAGAAAAAGTGGGAAGAAAAAAAAAAGAAAAAGCTTATGTAAATGTTAAACTTTCTTTTATTGTATACAATGGAAAAATGTTCCGGTTTAGCTTTTCTTCTCTTGTTTGATTTGTTTTTCTATACTTTTCTTCCTTTCATTTTTTTCTTCCATTCTATTAAATCCACTTATTAGACTATTTACAATTTACAGATAGAAGAAAGAGATAGGAATAAAAAAAATGAAAAAAAAAAAAAAAGAAAATAAAAAGAGGAAAAATAATATATTAACAGCAAAACTACCATTGATTGATAAGATGATTACTATTAGTAGAGATATAGATATATATTTTTATAGTTAAAACAATAACTGTCTCTTTTCGGTCAATAAGTAGTTAGATATCTGATGGAAAATACATATTCTTTTTGTCAAAATATGGTATGTATAAAGAAAATATAAAATCTAGTGAAATGGAATAATCACAAGTGTATATAAATATTTTCTTATCTAAAAGAGGAAGTTCGTTGAGACATACAAAATATTATATATCTAGAAAATAACCTGTGTCATTCCATTCAACAATATAATTCTTAAACAAAAAAAAAAAAAAAAAATTCACTACATTTGGTAAAATTTGTAGAATATTTTTTTAAATACAGCTGTTTTTGGTTTTTCTTTATTCAAATGAACATCATCATCATCATCATCATAGATATATATATCATTGATATCGAATAAATACGGTAAATTATCATTTTAAACATTAATCAACTATGCATATAAATCTTTCTTACACTTAATTGTCATATCAATTTTTCATGTTTGAATTATTCTTCGATTCTTCAATATATTATAAGTCATAATGCTACAAAAAATTTTTACTATATTAAGAAAATTTTATAATACATCATACATAATTAACATCAAAGTAGCTAAAACCTGAATTCCGCCTAAGGATAAAATATGTTCTCATTTTTTGTATTTTTTTATACTCGAAAGATGATAATACGACAAAAAAGAAACAACAATTCTAATTAGTATTCAAAATATAGACTATTTCAATTTAATCAACAGTGATAATTAGTCTTTTTTAACAAAAAAAAAAAAAGAAAAATTTCTCTTATTCCGTAAAAAAGAAAAAAAAATGAAAAGAAAAAGATATTATATGTATATATATCTCTATGATCAATTTGCACAGCTAAAATATATCATAAAATTACACATGATATATTATTCTTCGTCTATGAATTAGTTTAAACAAATTTTTCAGCATACTGTTTTCATAAAGATTGATTAATCATAATAAACTCTTTCTATCTAAGAATAATAGTCAAATTATCATTTGAGAAGAGACTATTTTAATAAGTGAATTTAATTTTGTATGCATTTTTAGTTTAACTTAGAAAATATAAAATAAATTTCTTTATATTTATTTCATCTCATTGTTTCATACATTTTTTAAAATAAGTCTTATTTTCTCTAATATTATTTGAATTGTTTAGAATGATCATGAATCAAAATAAATCTAATGTATTACTAATTAAACAAGGTTTTATACCCGGTCCAACTTTCTTTAAAAGTTCTTATTTTAATAATAATTTAACTAATAGTGTTCGTTCATCGTATACAATTTTAAATGATCGTTTTAAATCGTCTGATTTTTTATTTTTTCCATTAAATCAAACATTATTTGTATCATTATCAAACGATTATCCAATAACAATGGAAAATATCACAAATAATTCGACTATTATTAATTCTCCGATATTACCATCATCTTTAAAATTTATTCCTCTATTAATTGGCATTATTCTCTTTACAATTACAATTTGGACAATAATCGGTAACATTCTTGTTATTTTAGCATTTTTATTTGATAAACAAATACGACAAGGTGGAATGTCAAATTATTTAATCATTAATTTAGCTGTTAGTGATTTATTATTAGGTATTGCTGTTTTACCACTTTCTGCTTCGTATAGTACATTGAAATTATGGTATTTTGGACGATTTTTATGTGAAATGTGGTTAGCTATTGATGTTTTATGTTCAACAGCTTCCATATGGGTAAGTAAAAATGATTTAAAATGGTGCAAAATACAAAAAAAATTTCACTCAATCATTCAACAAACACCAATTATTTGTTTTATTTGTGTTTTTCAATTTAAAAACCTTCTAGGGTCTATTAATGATTGCATGTGATCGTTATATAGCCACTAATCATCCAATTCGTTATCGTCATCATCGTCATTCGATTCGTATTGCTCTCATTTATGTTTTTGTTGCATGGTTTGTCAGTATTGCTATTTCTCTATTACCAGCACTCTTTTTTGAAAAAAAAACGACCGTTAAATATTCAGCTAGCGAAAAACAATGTGATTTATATAAAGATTTAAAATTTGTTGTTACAAGTTCTATTTTATCATTTTATTTTCCATTGATTATTATGATATTTCTTTATGCAAAAGTTTTATATGCGATTAGACAGCAATCGACAAAAATGAATAGAAAACGTCAAACATCATCGTCAATTAAGCAGAACAATGTTAAAGATACAGAATATCAAAAAACACAGACATTAGCAAAAAATCAAGAAAATAATAATAACAATGATATAATTATAGGTAAGAAAAATGATTTAACATATACTTAAACATTGTAGAAAATATTTATAATCAAACAATGAATCTATTTCATTTAAACTAATATTAGTCTGTTAATATCCGTTTGATGATTAAAATGATGATAGATAAATGACAAGTGATGGTGTTAGAAAAAATTTATTTGATTCTTTATATCATATGTTTGTCATCGATACCATCACGTTGACAACGTTTTTTGACCCCTTGAATCGTCTCTTTATGCGAAGCTAGAATCGAACACACGTACTTGACCTTTGCAAATGAACTGCAAAAAAACATCAATTTCACTGTTCTTTTTCTATATTTGAGTTAGTTCATTTGATTAATGAGTGATTAAAAATATTTTTTTTCCTTCATGGAAATATTTAGAGAAATCGTCTGCCACTATTAATTTGTTTGTTTTCAAAACAAAACAAAAATGACTATTTAAAGATTTTTCTTTTTGTGCGCGTAAACAAATATTTTGAACAAGTTTGTTTTTGTCGTTCTTTTGCCAATTAATAGTTAAGAATAACTTTGTCAATTTTAATGATACGAATTTTCGAGGTATTCACACATAAGTATCTCGTTAATTTAAAAATTTTAAAATAATCACTGATTGACTTTGAAAAACTTCGAAATCGAACTTTCATTTTTGAAAAAGTACCATTGAACTCTATCCTTCATCCACAATCCCACTTCGGTCACTATCTTATTTCTAATTATCAAAACAGTTTATCTCTCGTTAATATTCTAGAATATCAACGAAAAACAAATGAGACAACTTTATCACAAAGTAAAATATTAGATTCTACTTCAAAATTGAATTTTTGTCCACAAATCACAATTGGTATTGATGATCATCAAGAATATTATCAAAATAATAAGCGTTCAAATTATTTTAAATTATTTACACGTCCTTCGATGAAATCGTTTATGTTTTGTTGTTCGAGTCAATCATCTTTAATAACTACTACAGCAGATCAAGAACTCATTCAAAATGGTGAACAATCTCCATCTGGAAATACACCAAATCATTATTTTCGTTTACCACGTCGTGATAGTGATACACAACATCAACAACGTCGACGTGAAATGACACAAGAAGCACGTGTAACACGATCATTAGCCGTTGTTATTGGTTGTTTTATTTGTTGTTGGTTACCATTTTTTACATTGTATATTACACGAGCAGCATGCAATTGTCTTAGTTTTGATGCTATTGAATTTTTTGTATGGTTAGGATATTCAAATTCATCTTTGAATCCAGTTCTTTATGCAATATTGAACAAAAATTTTCGTCTAGCATTCAAAAATATTATTATGTCTATACAAAAATTATGCTGTCGATTTAAAGTTTCTTATTAAGAAATAATAATACAAGAATCGACAATAAACATAGAAAATTCTGTAGATCGGTTTAAGTAAGGAATTTGAACGAGTCATCATTTTCAGCAAAACTTCATAGTCAATTTGACCTAAAAGTTTTGAATTTACATATGGCTTGGATTCTAATTCAGGATTATTCAAAGATTAAGAAGTATGATAAAAATATTTTACAAAATACATTTATTTAAAAGCGATCAATAGACATAAATCAGTTTTTTTAGCTAAAATATGAATGCTTATAATTATATAAAGAAAGATTATCTCTAAGTAGAATAGTTAAATGTAAAAAAAGGGTATGACTTGAGAATTACACTTTCTGACTGAAATTCACTCTCTTGTCCAGTTCATTTTGTTAATTCATTAAATTTTTTATTGTTCTATTTATCAAAACTCATATTTCTAATTTTTATTTGTGAACTTTTAATGTGTGAACTCTCCTATCGTTATCTTTTATATTAAAATGAATTAAGAAGAACTAATTTAACAAGAGTTTTTAATTCATACTATGAGATCGAAAATAAACGTCGGTATTCCGTTTTATTTATTTTTCTTACAGAATAAAAACAGACAAATTTCTTTTGATCATATTTCAGAAGTTTATTATACAGATGAAGAGGAGAAAAATACAAATTTTCTCCTATTATGAGTGGAGAACGATAGAGATAGAAAGAAAGAGAGAGAGAGAGAGAGAGAGATACATAGAACAGAAAAAATGATAAATCAAATGCCAATATATCGTGCATATTAATTAATAGAGATAAAAGCCCGTAAACTCAAAATATTCGTACTTATCATTATCAGATCTATAATCTAGAATTCAATTCATATTCCATGTTTTATGGTAGTGTCTGGTTTGTGATAGACATTGGAAAACAAATTAATATTAAAAATATTCTTTTATCATTGCCAAAGGTAGATAATACGTATTTTTACAAGTATATAGGATAAAAATGAAATTAAACATATCTCTTCATTTTTTTATTCTCAAGAGATAGTACAAAGATATAGAAATAAAACTAATTTTCTAATTTTTACTTTATTTAATTTATGATATAGTTTGTGCTTTGAGATTTAGAGTGTTTACTATTATAAATATTCATCTCGAGTATTTTGAATATTAAAAGTTTGTTTTTTAATGAAATAAATGTATTATTATCTTATTAGCTGACCTGTATAGAAGTACAATAGGTCAATAATCGAATCATATCAAAAGTCATCTGTGTCTATTACTAATATTTTCTATCGTTTCAAATACTCAACAAAATTTACTTACGTATGACATCTTAATAAGAATCACTATGCATCCATTTGTCTCCACAGAGAGAACAACTAATTTTTTATTAATGAAAAAAAAAAACATGACGAAAAATTAAGTCAGAATTGTGCAAAATTTGCAAGTAAAATTTGTATAGATTCACTAAACTCTTCTATTGACATCTTAGAAAAGTCAACACCTATGGGAATTAATTCGATCAAAAATGGGTACAAAAATGTTGAAGAAAATTTTTTAATACACTCAAATAATAAACAATCCCAACAAACAAAAAGCAGCAGTCATATTTTACTATACATGAAACGCTAAAACTCATTCATTTTAAGTACTACCTCATTCCATAAAGATATATTTTTCAATTCTCTTTAGTGAAATAGTGTAAAATATATATATAAATATAACAACACATCTATACATATATGTGGTTTAATTATTTTCAAACAAATAACAAACAAACAAACGGTAGTATTATTTGTATGTAATAGAAAAATATTGTATAAAAATATTGCGATTGGATTTTCTACGTTATTACTATTGTATATATCTGTTGAGTATAGGAAATAGATTTATCAAGTTAAGAATAGGAAGAAAAAGTCTTTTTTCTCAAGTACTAGAATAACAAAAATGTAATAAGTTTTGAAAAAGCGGGAACTCGATCATTAATTTAATTATATATCTTTTCATTGAAAAATAACAGCAACCATCTTGAAAATCTAGTGTTCCAAAACTGAATTTTTATTTTGAACTAGAGAATAATCAAAAAAAGTTCTACTATTTTATAGCTCGATATGCTTGAATTATCAAGCAATTGTACTCAATCAACAGTTAACAAGCACAAGTTTGTTGTCTTTTTACTCATAACTGAAGAATAACAACACAAAAGAGTGCAAAAACTACAAAATACTCTCTATTTTTTGTTTTGTTTAGAAATGATAAACATTGGTGGTTTACAATTGTTCCTTAAAGATAGATAAAATGAACCGACGTTTATATGACAAGTAGAAACAATAAGGATTATTATCCAGAAGTTATATTTCATTTATTTAATAGTCTATCTTACTACTGTATGATGTCTTTAACACATTAGAAAGAAAATATAGAGATAAATAAATCATTTGTTGTAAATGTTCTCTTTTTTTTCTTTTCACAATAGTGAAAAAGAAAAGAAAAAAATAATGAATAAACAAGCTAATTTGGTTAACTGACTTGATAAAATACGATGAAAATTATTACCATAACTCTTACGCATATTTCTAACCTTCTATTTTCCTCATTAAAAACAAATAATAGTAGTTCATGTTTTATATGATTCAATTTTAGTTTGAGTAAATCTGTTCAATGGATGAAAATCATCTGTCTTAGATTTGTTAAGTCTTTCTTCTTATAATGTTCATTGAACCATACAACATTCTAAACAGGAAAGAAGAAATATAACTTTATTTAACCTTCTATTATAAACGTCTATTAACAACTTCATAATTTGTTTCTAACAAATGAAAAGCATATAAAATATGATTCTTCATTTCAGATTTAGCGATAGCGGAAAGTTATGAATAATCAACTATAACTCCAAATGAAACTCATAGTTATTCATCAAATAGAGGGCACAAAAATAGTATGATTTCTTTTTGTTTGTTCTGAAGTTCTTTACGATTATAAATCCTAGTGTCGTATAAGGTCAAATAATTTATTTATTACGTTGAGTTTGCACCACATATTGAACAATTCATCTGTCCACAGTACAAACACACAGTAATCTTGTCAGAAATCAATTTTTACAAATATCACAAATAGAAATGTGTTCCAGACATTTGTTTATGCATCATTAATTATCTTTCTTCTGTTAGACCGCAATATACCTAGACACTCTGTATCCGATCTAGTTTTTTCACATAAACAGCTCACTCGAGAAGGTAACCAATGTGACGGCAAATAGTTCTCTTTCAATGTCAAATTTTAAAAGGAAAAAAATCTCGCATTCTAACATTCTCCAACGATCAGTGGAGACAATGTGGATGATAGAGATCTGTTAAATCTCGTTGGTTACCGTAGTCAACTATGAGGATAGTGAACTGGCTGCTATTTTCGATGATTTTGGTTTACTATAGATCCACCAGAGCACAGTGAGCTTGAACACATAGGTACCGCAAATAGGCATGCACCAATTCTTTTTTGAAGATTATTGGAAAAAATGTCTAATTTTGAGACTATTTATTTTAAATGCTTTTTGCACACCTAGGATTGTTCGGCAGGTTTTTCTCTACAAAATGCGGTATAATAACGTTTGTACTTGCATTTGAGAAGGCGAAAACAAGGAAAATATTAACCAATTCCGACCAATTCCAATTTCAATTTTACTTTTTACAAAATAGCCTATAGTGTTTAATTTAATGTTGATGCAAAATTTCCGAATAGCCTGTTTTGTAGAGAAAAGTCGATGCTACAATTCTACATTATGGATAAACATTGGTAACAAATAATTTGAGAGATACAATTATTTTTGCAGATGCACCAAAAAACCAAGCCTAGAATTGGTGCATGCCTAATCTCAAATGTTCAAGATAACGACAACGACGTCTCAAAACTTCTAAATGCAATTATCTCTGAATAATCGTGTTGTTTTTTGTTTCTGAAAAATATTTCGGTTCCTATTATTGATTTGACATATAAATGAAAGATAGAATGACTGATTCAAAATGAAAACCCTGTTCTTCATTTTTTAACACGGATTGATATCGTCAGTGCAAGAGTCCCACCAACTTTTAGTCAAACGTTTTTCGAAATCCGAACGTTTTCCATTCGCTCTTGCTTATGACCCATGAGATATCTCCCGGTACGTCACTTACGGACAGAGAGAGCATTGCACCAACAAATACTGGTCAAACTTAGATGCTAAAAAAATTACAGTTCACCGATGCATGACATTCATACCCTGCTTCATGATATCCTCAGTTTTAAAACTCACGCTCATGAAGTATTAATTACTCTTTAATCATCTCCACTTTCGTCTTTATCCAGTCAAAACAAAAACACTCAATCTACTCAACTCACTCATTGCTCGACTTGTCGAAGCTTCTCTTCGTACAATTCTCTTCTATCGCCATCCAACTGCGATAAACTATCAAGATATTCCCTGATCTTTCTTTCATAGCGTTTCGCATCCACAACTATCCACAAATCACACAATGTCAACATACACCACTTGTTCATCGGCTCCACTTCGTCTAGTTTCTCGAACGTGTCCAAATGATGTCCGAGTGCATCCTTCTTGTTGATCGAGAGGAACTGTTTCACTAGCCATCGGTAGTAGAACCACGCTGCTTGATCAAAACAGTCAGTGTACACCGCATTTGACATCAACTCAAACTCAGAAGTCAGAATCTCCTCTCTATCAGACACACCAGATGATAGAGTAAACAGCAAACGCTCCAAATACTTCGTTCGATAATGCCACGCTGAATAGTTGGACAAGTTTTGACCAATCTTCACACGCAAATAATCAAGTTCTTGACGATAAAATGAGAGCAGATCTTCTTGATGCT